GTGCAACCTGCCAAAGAAGATTTCCGAGTTTCATTTTACTTGGCTCGAGGGCCCAGTTCTTAGCTGATGTAAAACACCATAAGCTCATTGAATGCCTACTCATGTTCTCCAGCCTCAAGCTCTTAGGAAGTAATATTTCAGGTGAGCCTTCAGTGTTAAGAGCTAAACCAGGGCCAGATCTGCTCTCAATTACACCAGCAGAAAAGCAAACTCATCTCAGGTAAGTTAATGGAGATGAGCCAACTCCTCAGAAAGATAAAAGGGGAAGTCCCCCCTGCCCATCTGATCCCTCTACCTGCACCCTAATCATAGACCTGTAGGCATAGTTTAATTTTTATTTCCTCTGGCATGAGATTACCAGGGGAAGGTTGGCTTCAGTTTGAAAAAAACAATAATATCTATGATTGTATTTTCTGAGTGGGAAGCTCTGGAGGTCCTCATCTATTGTCAGAAACATTATCTGTGTGTCTCTCTCTGAAGAACCCATAGGCAAGACTTTGTGGACACAAGTGACCTCCAAGAATGATGCTGAAAGGCCACATCTCCACCACGCTGAGCTGTGACTGCCAAAAAAGCCTTCTGTGCACCCAGGGAGTCTTGAATGACACCAAATCCACATCTGCAACACACCAGACCATCTTCTGACTACGCAGAATTCACTGAGTCCTCATGCCATAAGTTTTGATGTGCCCAACCAGATCCATTTCTCCCCTCTCCTTTATACCCGTCATCTCAAGGAGTAGGATTCTGCTCTGTGATAGATTCAGATATATAGATATATAAAAACAAAACAAACAAAAAAGCAACAAGCTGGCATTTGGAGGCAACTCAGTTTGCCATGGCACAAGTTTTATCTCCTTCTTCATCCATGCCCTGCCCAGAATCCGACTCAGCACTTGGAATTTGAGTGAAATTTCCCTCCTTTCTCCTGAATCTAGGGTAGAAGTTGAAACAGACACACGACAACCTATTCAAATAGGGATTAAGTAACATTTGCCTTCATAGAAATACTATAGGTAAAATACTTAATGTTCAACACTCTTAACAGCATATTTGATAATTAAACTTAAGAAAGTTTAGCACCATGCAAGAGGGACTCATTTAACCCCAGAATGAGGTTTTTGAGTTTTAATTCCCCTTATATTGGTGAAACAGAGAAGTAAAAGCTGCTCTTCTACACAGAATCACAGTGTGATTGATCACTGTGATCACCAAATCCAGGTACAGCTGGTGTTCAGAGGTTTTTTCCATCTGTCCCAGTTCATTGTATAATCAAAACATAGACCCGGTTCTCTCCCTGCTGTATTTCTTTCCACCTCAAGCCTCCTCTCTCTCCTAGTTTACATGGCAGGCAGACTCTAGCCCACCACGTGGATCTGCACACAGCAATGCCCTATTTGAATTTCCATCTGTCAATAACATTAAAGCAGAACCACCACGGCAATTACAAGTGTACACAATAATCTTGTCGTCCAGCGTCTTTAGCGCGTCCCAGAATGCATTAAGACGGTGCCAGGAGAGACTGGGCTCTGTTGGCTCAGCTGTAAATCTGCAATCTGTACAAAAACACCCACGTGTCAATCACGGGACGTTCCTGTTCTCCTCGTGGTTCACGGTGCATAATTTAACTACTACGCTTGTCAGGTTCTCCACGCTGCTCGTGCACCCGATGGTAAATGTGTTCATGAACTCAACTGTCATCAACAAAGGGAAACAGCACGTGGAAATAACAGGCTAAAGGAGGCAAGAGGCCTCTTTTCCTTTCACAGTTAAAGGAATTGCCAGTCAGGGAAAGTTTAGTCGGGCTTAAATTTTTAATGCTCAATGGGTAAAACGTCCCAAGGGTTGAGGGATGTTGACAAACAACTGCATCAGCTCTGTGCTGAGGAGGAAGACAGTGTTTGGGTAAGACATAGGAGGGGATTAATGCCGTCCCTGTTCCCATGTAGGATGATATAAGGGGAAATTTTAACTAACTGATTTGTATTATATCCCACAACCCTGTAGTGCAGAAAACAAATCCTACCATATCACCACAGCCTTGCCACTGTCAGTGAACTATGAAGCAGGTTGTCCTTCCTAATACAAATTACAACTGCTGAAGGGCCTTGTCAGAAAGGATGAAAATTTCACACTCAGCTACATCAGGCAGTAGTTACCCACTGCTTACACCACAGTTAAAATGCAATAAAAAAGAAATCTCTGTCCCAGGACGTGACATTAGAGCTGATCAGTGCCAAAGCTACAGACCATAAGGACAGCTTCACACTTGCCTCAGCTAGTTCATGAATAAACATCCAATTCATTCAAATGAGTTCTATATTAACTAATTTAAATAATTTTCATTTTGCTTTGAATGGTAAACAGATCTATTCTGCCAGGATAGTTGAGTTTGCAATTCAAATTACACACCGATTTGTAATGAGAAAAATATAATTAATGGCAAAGCTTGAAGTAACTACAATTTTACTCCTTTGATTTCCTGTGGAGGAGAAGGAGGGGGCGGAGGGTGAAGCTCTCAGGCACACATGCGCTCACACACCATCCTTCCATAAGCCAATACATTTTGTTGCCAATTCCAGTATTTTGCTTGAGCAGTCCTGATCTAGTGCACTGCACCACCATGGGAGGACACAACGTGACTTGACATTCTCCTCACAGGCCACAGACACTGTGATGCAACACTGACATCACCCAATAAATAATCATGTAGCAGTCTGCAGATTAAACGACTTCCTTCTATTGGGATCATAAACAATAATTATTTGGCAGCTGCCCCTTAGAAGCTCTGTGTGTGCTGGACATTAAATCAAGTTCTATTGATTTGCTAAACTGAGCCAGCCCATTTTCCTCGTGTCTCTCTCCCACCTAATGAGATTCTTTGTCCCATCACTCCACCATTCTTGTCTGGCATCACATTTGTAAGTCAAGCACTGATCAGTCCGATCTGATCCATAAGGAGAAACAGAGCATTGTCCCAGCGCTGTCGTTCTGGCCGTTAAACAAGTCCTTCTTGGCAGATCCCTTTTTTAACCAAAGCCTTCAGCTCCTGATTAAAATCAAACCCTAATGACAGATAACCAGCCCTGGCCACAGGCTGTTTGCATGGTCCTGCCAACAGATACCTTCATGGTAATCAAGATGTGCAGAATCAGTCCCTTTGGAAACGGGCCCACACAATTTGAAGCTGGTTTTTGTTTCTCCCAAAAGCCTGACAACAAAATAGTGTGCAATGGTAAAAAGGTAAAAAAATCTCCACAGAGTTCAGAGAGAACATCAGTTTCTCTTTTACTAATGCACAGATTCTATGATTCTCTGAGTCCTGAAGGCTTAAATCAATCTTGGGCATTTTAGTTGCCTCATTCCAAAATACGAACCCAGTTCTTAAATGATTAGATCACTTTTGAAATAACAACCTGTGCATTTAATTTATTCTTTCTGAAAACTATACTAAGATATATTCAACAGAGTTTATTCACTGAGAATGGGAGTGGGTGAAAAAAAAAACCAAACAAACAAAAACCAACTGGGCAGTTGCCCAAATTTAAGACCCCGGTGTACAGTTACATCACCCATCCAGAGGAGAAGGGACGTATTACACACTTGCAGTCATTCAAGCAAGACAATTCACACAAAGTAGCCACGACCCAAAGGGCAAATTCCAACACATCCAGGAAAAGTAGTTGCCTCCGGTTATAAGGCAATCGTTATTTTCTATTATGACACTCGATAAGATCTCTTAGCCCCTTGACCCTCACATTTCCAGATTTAGTTTGTAGCACTGTACACCTTTCGGGTAACGTTGATTATAATCCACATAATAAAATGCAGTTTAAGAGACCCATAAAATAAAATACCTCACCCCTCGCACATCAGCTTGATTTACTGGTGCTAAGCCAAGAGATTTCTCAGCCACATTTATCTTCAGGACTTCTGGTTGTTTTTTGTTTTTTTTTTAAACAATCAATCTTGTGTTTATTCAAAACACACAGATCAGAAAAAAAAAGTACGTTCAGCTCAGATTTGGGCATACACAAGGCAGGAATGTCAGCTCTGATTCAAAGATCATGTCTACAGCTCACTTCAGTGGGAAGTCGGGCAACACTTACACCAGAAGAAATCCCACATGGCATACAACTGGTACATGCACTGTTTTCAATGCTCACACGTAACAGGAAGAAAAAGAGTAACTTCAGCAGCAGAATCCTTAAATGAGACTTTTCGTTTATGTATGCACAAGCTGGAGGCTAAATATTCATCTCTTCTTCCCTTGATCCAGAATAAATGGGATATATGGCAGGAATACTTACCAGAAACACTGACAATATGCCTCTGCTTGGAGCTATGTAGTAGTAAGGATACATAGCTGCTATGGTGATGTACATAGTACATATATACATATATAAAACATATATATATTCTTACACACTGGGGATAAATTGTATTATTAACAAACCACTCCACATGGGGCATTTAATAACATACAGCTCTTGCCTTCAGTTTTTGTGCACCTAAGACCTGACAATCAGGACATGCCCTAACCTATAATGACCAAATTTTGCTACCTTTAATCATGTGTATCTACCACTGGAATTAAAAGCTGTCAAAATCTGGCAATGGAAGGTTTTAAACTGAGTGCACGGTAAACTTCTGATTTTGGTCACACCCAAACTGATCTTGCTTATTTTAGTTTGTTCTCACTCTGAGTTTCATCCCTCCTTTCTACGAGAACGGGACAGTTTTCTCCACTAAGTGAAAATCACAGCCTTACAGTTTAGCAGTAAGTTTCCTTGTTAAGACAACACTTCCTACAGAAGCACCTTCTGCTGTCACCAACTACGGCAAAAACGCCTTTGCTAGACGCTGACTGGCAAACTGAATCACCCACTGACCCGTGGGGACATGACCCTGACTGCCCCACCCAACACCAGCTGAGGGTCTGGAACACCCACCCCAGACAAACCGGAGATCCAGAGATTACCAAAACAGCCAGAACTCACCATCTGGAGGCATCAGGACCTTGTTGTTCTGTGTACACCAGCCCACGGGGTGCAGATCTGCTGTCATCACGTCACACCAGAAGTCTGCCCTGCGGTCGTCCCCGTAGCCGCAGTAACGAAGCAGCAAGAGCTGTCCACATGTTGTGATGATCGTAGCCACCCAGTACGTGTCTGGATTGCTCTTGTTGGCCACTTCTAATTTCATCCCTGGTTGGAAACTGCTTTGAAGGCTGATTTCAACCTTGCAAAATGAGAAAGGCGTGGTGTTACCTTTGCTTCTTTGCAGGGAGACCCCCCCCCTCCCCTGATAATGCTGCCCTTAAAGTGCAGCTCCAGGATAGGACACGAGTTGATTTTGCTTCTTAATCGAACCACCTCCTTCACATCTGTCTAAGAAGTTCCATTCCTACTTCACTGGCACATACCCCGTCATGAGAGGTCCCACATGCTCCAAAGAGTCATTCCACGTGCACTACATCTAAGAGAGGAGTGGTACCCATCTTCACTTCCTAAATCTCACAAATTCCTGGGAGAAAGGTGATACAACTCAAATGAGGGATCGTTTCCTACTGCACAGCTCCATCAGGCAAATCATTGGACACATGCAAGGTAGAAAGGCAGGTATGAAGCACCTCTAGGAGTTAAGCCCAACTACAATAACTAGTCATACAGCAACACTGAAGCATCTCTTGAGGCTTGACAAGCATCAAGGGCTGAATGCTCTACCAGGCAGACCAAGTGTTTTCACTGAACCCATCTGCAGCAGCTCAAGCCTCAACTAATTCACCCTCCCAGCACCCTGGTAAATGAGCTATGACCCATCACCTCAAAAAAGTAAATTGTTTAGGTCACTGTCCTGCCACCTGACAAAGATGTCACTTCCATTTACCTAAGCAGTGACAGGTCACATGTAACTTGCCTTAGGACACTGGAGATGACAGTGCACCTCTTTTGGGATACTGCAGGGCCTGCTGTAGGAACAGCATAACTTGTGTTCCAAAGGCCAGTGGGATGTCTCTACCTGTTGTTGATAAAGAAGAGGTGGATGCCAATTCACTGGTTCAGGTGCCAGCCTTGTTTTCAGAAAACCATCCAAAATGTAGCCTGTCACTCCCCACAAGATGTTTAAGGACAGCTTCTTTACAGGTTTATTAGAATCTTATCTGATACTGAAACAAGAGAAACTGTAAATCTGGATAAGCCTGTCTCTGGTTAACTTCTCATTTAAATGACAGGTTTAAATGCCTCTTTTACTCATCGTAAGTGTAACATGGTCTACTTGGTGAACTGAGGATTTCACAGACTTGGGGATGACAAGCTGCTGCTGAAAAAAACAGTCCTCTGGCACGTGAGTAGTGCTCCCTCACTCATCCCACTCCAGCTTCTTACCCAAGGGCTGCCCAGCCAAACCCATTTATTATTTGCAGGTAGCATCACTCCATGTGCCTTTACTTGTGTGGGCACTTCCAGCAGCATCAATACCTGGAGTCACAGAACAGGTGAAAGGGACCTTTGGAGATGGCCCAAGACTGAAGAAGGTCTTTTTAACTGCTTCACTTAGTGATAAGATTGGATCTTGGCTCTTGTGGTGCTCAGGGTCCTCATAAATAACCCAGGGTACAGACTGTCCCGTGCCCCAGTACAAATTTGATCTCCTGGTCCCCTCCAGCACAGACTGGATCTCCTGGCCTCCTCCCAGTACAGACTGGCAGCTGTAGCTCAAAGCACCCAAGCCTGGTAACTGCAGAGAATGATTTATTTGTAGTTTTTCTCCTGTGCTCACCATAACATCAATAAAGTATTCTGGAGGCAAGGAACTCATGACTGGAAATCACAAGAAGAGCGGAATCAAACAGACAGATAACAGAATCCCTCACAGCTTTCAGATTCCTGGTCAGCTCAGGTCTTTTGGAGGATCATTTTTCAGACTGTGAAGCATAGTCACCAAGGACTGTTCTCACAACTAAGTTATCTCATTTCAACAGTCCTGGGATTGAGGTGCTGCTGCAGTCAGCAGGATCAGCAGGATGACTTGGGCATCTCCACGCACCTGAACACATCTTTAAGGCCTTCATGAAGTACAAAACTTTCTGGTTTGGGCCTGGAGCAGAAAACTGGGACAAGATGCTCACTCCAGACAGCTGCTGGATCAAGAATAAACTCTACAAGAAGCATTGCCTGTAATTCTCCAGCATAGAGAATTATGGTCCTTCATCCTGCAGTACTCCACTGCTGTTACAATGAACTCACAATAGGGAATAGAGGACTATATCATTTTTTCAGATCTAGATGAAGGAAAGGTTTTTCATTCCTGCAGCTCCTTAGCCCTACAAAATAAGGTAGAAAATCACTTGGAGACAAGGGTGGTTGGACTAGATCTCCAGATATCCCTTCCAACCCCAGCCATTCCATAACTCTGTGATTAACAGCATGACAGCAGACATCCAAACGAAGACTTCTCTTAAAGCAGCAACAGGTCCTTCAGGAAGGTTCCCTCTCACTGCAGCCCAACTACACTGTCCCCAAAGGACATCTCTGCCAGACAGGACACACAGTGTAAGGCTGCTTCCCACATCTGACGGGTCAGTTAGGAGGATGAACAGCACCATCTTCATGGGATTTGCAGCTGAGGACAGAGAACCACCAGGACTTGTCATGGCTTCACTCAATTGAAGGCATCACAGCACCTTCCCAGCAGGCTAGTTGAATGACAAAGATATCCTGGAAAATCTACCAGTTTGGCCACATGAGCACACCCTTGACTGTGATGAAGAAGTCAAGAATCAGTTTAATTTCTGCCCCATGTCTTCATGTGACATCACACATGTTGAATAGAAGACATTAAACAACTAGTGGTGGATGGAGAAGTTGGTCCCAAACAACAAGATCCTTGATGGGCTCTGCCTGGAGACAGAATCCTTTCTTCAAAGCATGCTCTGATACTCTCCATCAGTAAATATTTCAGAGAATTCAAACGCTGTTTCTACTAAAACAGACCAGAGTCACAGACCATGCTGTAACTACCACAGCTGTCTGTATGATCCGTGTTCACCCAGGAAAAGCACCACCTGCCCAAGAACCTGGTTCTCACACCTCTGAGACAGCATCTCCAGGCAAGAGGCTGAAAGATGGCTTCCTGCAGGCCATGCTGTAATCTAGGGCTGAGTGACCCTGCTAGTCAGTAAATCACGCATTAAAAGGAGCTTTGGAGAAATAAGAAAATTCTTGTAAGATGTACTTCTACTGGTTGGGATGGAGAGCAATAAATGCAGAAGGGGAAATAAATGAAGAGAAAAAAATTAAATGAGTGTATTATAAGCAAAAGGAGAGCAATACAAGCCCTCAAAAACAAAAAATTTCATCAAAAGGCAGACTATAAGGAAGTGGCACAGACAGAGCTCCAAGCCGTGACTGCAAACACACCAAGGTCACCTAACACCAGTTGGGGGGCTATTCCCATGCAGGTTGCCACATATGTGGAGGGATGATTTCTCCCCAGAATGGTCTGACCCCACTTCAGTTCTCCAGGGACCCCCTGAAAACCAGAAGAGGGAACACACGGAACGCCCGCGAGGCTCAGGCAAAGCACGTACGTGTTTGAAGGAGGTGTGGGGAGCAGCACTGGCTCCTGTTTCCTCCAGGAATTCGTCCCAGTTGAAGTCTGCATCCTCAATGCTGGAGCCCTCATCTGTGCAAAGGCAAAAAAAAAAAAAAAAAAAAAAAAAAAAAAAAAAAATGAAAGAAAGAAAAGCAGCCTAAAACACAGCCAAAGAAGGCAAAAGTTATGTCAAAGAGTTCAGGGTGAGAATAGCAACCAGTATAAACATCAACAGAAGGGAAAACAGAAAGTTTGCCTTAAAGATCTGTGTTTTGACCAGCTCTTACTATGCTTTCAGCCGACTTTGGGACTTTAGCAGCCAACACTGAGGTCAGAAATGACTCTGCTTTCATAGCAGTGGGGGAACAAAACTGTCATACACTGCAACAGGCACTTCTGGTCTTTTATTTAGTATTTGATGACTCTCTTGCTGCAAGGGAGGTGGCTGCCTGCCCATTATCACAAGAGTGCAGTGGCCTTGCTTGTGGTCCAAAAGTGGGTCATCCAGTACTGTTAACTCCAGCAGTGCCCTGGTGATAATATGAGAAGTTGCTTCTGTTGGTCGAGCAACAAGTGGAACAAACACCCCAATCCTTGGGGCTGGGGAGCCCAATTTTCAGTTCTGCCACCCTTTCTCTCCTTCCTCAGCATCTCTCCACTCATAAATCTCAGACAAGGTCCCCATGCCTCCCTCCTCCCCTAGATGCTCTTCCCCAAATCCTCCAGCACCCCTCACTAGACCACTACTGCCTTCTTGCTCCCTGCACTTGTTCTTGTCCCATTCCAGATTTGGGGCTCTGCATCATGTCTCCCCATCCCACTGCTGCCCCACATGATCTTTCTCCACAGGGAAGGACTTGACATGACTACTCTTTCTTTTATTTCTTTCTTTATAACTGCACTGAGCAGAGCCAAGGCCCCAAACCATTGCTGAAACACACGGAGAGCAATAATTAAAAATAAATCTTCTTTTACTTACAGAAAATCAGCCAAATCTGATTGTTTTCATTTTGTTCCCAAGCAATCTAGCAAGCCCAGTTTCATCCCCAGAGCAAAAATATTTACAGTCTGGCAATGAGCTCTTTGCAATAAGCATTTATCAGGCAAACTCTGCAAGACCCTTTACCTGCCCAAACATTCATCAGTGTGGTCATGATGTAATTAAAGTGACTCATGACAAACTGAATTAAGAACCCTCCCCAGACAGTTTTATGAAGAAAACGGCAGGGTTAATTTATTGCAATTATTGCTATAGGTCTCTAGTTTTCAGGACCAGAAAATTATGCTGTGCAAAGGGAATCTCTCATTATTAATAGGGGAAGACATAGGTTTTTATTTGCTGCCTATGGCGCCAGGCATACATAGATGAGGGGGGGGAAAGGGGATAAGAAGAGAGTTTTTTGAGACAGAGCTGGTGGAGGGTAAAGAGTCTGGGAGTCCAAAGCAGAGAGTTGAGCTGTCAATGCTGTTAAACACTTCCACACTGCTGCATCAAACTCAAATAACCTGCTTAAATATGAAGATGTAAATCAACACTTAACTCCAGTGATAAAGTGGCTACCAGATGACTCTTCAACTCAGCAAGACAAGAAATAACCCAACCCCATGATTACAACACAAAAATAGACAAATTCAACACAGAATAAAGACTGGGCTTTGTTTTGATTTTCTGCAATCATTGCAAAAACCTTCAGGCACAGAAGCTGGCTCTACTTGAGATATTTGATCCAAAATCAGGGGTTTGTTCAGCCTTGACTGAACAATAAGCCACAACTCAACCATAAGGTAGGAGCTTGGTGCAAAAATTCCGTATCATGCAGGCAAGCAATTTAGATGAACAGGGATATTTTGAAGCCTCAAGGCCTCCTACCCTATGGAATTAATGTTACAGAGAAGAGCCAGGTGCAGAGATTTCAAAGGCTGAGCCTCTAAAATAAAGTATGTTAGTCCCTGAGTAGATGGGCAGATATGCTTATCTATCCCAGGCTTAAAATTGCTTAAGCAACTTTTTACCCTGAGCACAACCAATCTCCATCCCACTAAAAGTCAAAAGCATTTGACATGAAAAGCTTAAAGTGCATCATCCCCTCTGCCTGGTTGCTCCCTACTCCTGTGTATCCCCTCTGCCTGGTTGCACCACATCTGTGTATGTGGTGTTGGGATGGGCTGCTCGATAACCCCAAGGACATCTTCACCTCAAGATATCTGACATCAACAGGACATTTGGAACAGGCTGTCCAGGGCAGTGGTGGAGACATTTAAAAAACATGCAGATGTGGCACTTGGGGACATGGTTTAGTGGTGGCCTTGGCAGTTCTGGGTTAATGGCTGGACTCGATGATCTTAGAGGGTTTTTCCAACCTGAATAATTCTGTGATTCTATGACTTTCAGGGCAGCCCTGGGCTCTCCTTCCTTCTGCTCAGGTACTTCTGTTTCAGAGTATGAGCCACTTCCCTCAGCCCATGATGCTCTTTGTATAGTCTCAATTTTTATTCTTGCTTTTGCTCTAACCTGCCGTGTGAGTCAAGGCAAGTGTCTCCTTTTCTCCAGCCTTCCTCAGCAGTCTTATGGGAGGAAGCCATTCCACAGAGCAGTGGGGGCAGAGATTTTTACTCAGTTCAGTATATAATCTCCGGCCCTTACAAGGAGTGATGTCTCCAGGGAGTCCAAGTCTTCTCCAGAATTCAGCAATAGCTTTTTAGTAACGTTACCACAAAGATGCTATTTATGGATGCATCAAGTCCTCCTGTACTTCATGCCCTCATTAACCCTGACCTACTCTGCCACACACCAACACAGAGAGACTCACTGGCCCCACTGTTCCCACAGCTCCACCGGCAGGCTCATCCCCAGGCAGTCCAGCAAAACTCACAACAGCACCTGTTCAAAAAAATATCACCCAGATCTCTCCTTTCTAAACCCAAACAGAGAGACTTCAGGACCCAGACAGGAGGCAGAGTGAGAGCTGCAGCCTTCCCTCCCTGTCAGCTCATTTCTCTCTGACACATCACCCGTCTGGCTTCTCCATCGTGTTTTATCTGCAGACTTTATCAGGAAATTACTTTTACAAGGTCTGTAAAAATAATGTCAGAGCACTCATTCATCACAGCATCAGTGGTTTATTTTGCTTCATTTCATCACAAAGAATTTTGAAGGGACTGTATGTTTCCAAAATGTTTTTCTTTTAAAAGGACTTTTAAAATGGACTTTGTTCCCTGCTAGAAATCTGTAAGGGACGGGGGATCCAGAGCAGAGGCAGCCTGGCCCAGGGATGAGACCAGCCCAAAGGACCCAGCACCACCCACACGTATAATAGGACTGCACACAAATCTCCTCATCCATCAGAAAAGCCCAACTGCTGAGGAGTAGAGGACACCCTGAAAGGTGATAAATTTGGCCTTAGACCTATTTTACATATCAGCTCCTTTTCCAATTATTGGTACTTAGGTCCAGAGCTTTTTGTTAATGAAAGAGTCAAGGCTGGCTGGCTCACAATACAGGATGTATAAACAAGCCCAGGATGGCAAATAAAATCAACAAGTCATTATCTGTGAGCCTCTCAATGGCTTTAAAGTGCTCATCCATTGACACTATAAAAATACAACTGTTCCAGCTGTTACCAGCTTCCCAAGATGTTTGGCTATGGGAAATAAAGGAGAAAAAAAACCTTAAAACCTGTGGCTCCAGAAACATGGATTTTTCACAGACTTCAATGAAGGAGAACACATTTGTAGCAAATTGCTTAGACATCTTATTCATAGCACAAAGATACATTCATGACTCTGAGTGAACAAAGAACTGAAATGCTTTAGTAGTTAACACACCAAATGTGCAGAGAGGGGGGACAGACAAGTACCTGATCAACCACAAACCTCCAGCATGGCCACGGAAGAGTCACCAAGACCCATATTCTCAAAGAAATTCAGGTACCACCAGCCAGTTCTTCTCATCCCAAACCAGTGTCTACAGTTGGACAACTGAATCTCATCCTAGAGGCTCCCACCACCCTCTCATGGATATAAATGGATCCAGTGGTGACTAAATCTGGCTGCAGTACACGAACCCCGCCTCAAGAGAGGAGTCTGCATCACATGAGCTACCAGGATTGAGATGTTCTCCTCTGCCCCATCTCCTCTTCATCCCCAGTGGGGACACACAGGAAGCTCCAAATGGCAACTCAACCCAAAGTCACAGCTGGAGGGCTGCAACAGTGACAACAACCCAAGGGGGTGAAGGGGAGCTCACCTGAATCAAACTGCTCCCTGTTGCCGTTTGCTGGGCTCTGACCCTTCTCTGGGGAGAGATGCTGGGTCTCTCTCATGGTGGCAATGAAAGATGCCCTCGTCTCCATGGCTCAGAGGAAAAGGCTTTGCCTTCCTAATTCATCCTGCAGCAGGGAGTGCCTGGAGGACAAGCTAGAAGAAAAAAGAAAAAAAAAACAATGAGTGGTTTGTTCTACCTACACCAACCTCTTCCCTCAGCCTTTCCTAGTGGTTTTCATGTTATCCCATCTTGATACAGTTGGACTTCATGACCTTAGAGGTCTTTTCCAACCTAAACAATTCTGTGATTCTCTGACTGTAAGCCTTTGATCCCACTCTCATCTCCAAGCTGACCCTAGAGGTGGATGAAAACCACAACAAAGGATCTTAGTGGCAATAATATCATAACAGCAATAATAATAATAACAACAGAGAAGATTATAAGGTAATAAACAGCATCCACAGGCTTCACATCCCAAAGTTCACTCCTGCTCCCAGTACCACCAATAGAGAGAGAAGGACCAGCCCACAGGGTGGTATAACCCTTGCCAAAAAAAAAGGCAGGAAATGTCAACTCAACTACCCTCCAGCAAGTCCAGCCCTTGGCTTACAACGTTTTGGTGGCTAACACTGTGTGAGATGTATCTCCTGCTCCACAAATATTCAAACTTCCAAAGGGGGAGATTTCTGATAATGAAACGGAAGAAACACAGAAGAGAAAATACTTGGGAGCAACTGGAATAACTAGAAAATGAAATTCAGCAGGTAAAATGCAAATATCCTAGTGAAACAGTGCTGGCTGCAACTGTTTATTGAATGAAGATGGACCTAAAGTAACTGTACCAGTTAGTAACATGCAGGGTGGCAAATACTAACTCATTTTAAATTGGGTTATGTTGGCAGAGGAGATTCTTCCAGAAGTAATGACCCTAGTAAACACAAAGTGGAATAAAAACACACAAAAATGAAAAATTATATGAGAAAAGGCATACAGGCTTACCAGATCTTACATCAGACACCAGACTAAATGAGAACTGTATTTCTAGCTACAGTAAGCCACCAGACAAGCAATACCCTGGGATACACCTTTAAGAGTAGATTAAAAAGAACTCCAAAGTGAGCTTTTCAGTAAAAACTCTCCGAGATGGTGATAACTTATGAGGTGTCAGAGCAGGACTGAAAAAGAGAAACCAAGAGCTGGGATTATGGGCACAGAGGGAGCCAGCTATTCACACGAGATATGCTAAAGCAAAGACAGAGAGTAGGGAAGGTGTGTGCCCAGAATATCCAATGTGGAAAACTGGTCCTGCTTATTAGTGGATGCCTCCAAGACCAGCATGGCAGAGAGGACTGTGATGGCAGCACCAGCGTCAAATGCTCGACAGGAAGTGTGACTAAAAGTAGGAAAAAAGTTTACTGCCCAGGCAAAGCAGGAGTAATAAGACTGTAAAAATATTATGGGATTTTTTCAACTTTTACTACTCTGGAGGCATATTCTAGAAGACTGGATATGGTGGTTATAAAACAGAAAGAAGGAGAGTGTTCTGTCCTAGATTTTTCATTCCCAGTTTTTAAGGCCGTTCCAATGACAATTTTAAAGAAGAAATGCACGTGTGTGAGCAGCTATAGGAGGAACTGAAAAAGATGAGAAGCACGTCAAGTCTAAGTGTGTCCATTAACTGGGACTGTCTGCTGGAGCGATCACAACTGCAATTAAATCATGGGTGTGCACAAAGCATCCCTGGTGGAAGCAAATTACCAAGGCAGGTGATGCAATCCCTCCATCAGCAATTTGTGTTCCCCACCCCAAAGGAACCTGCTAAGGAAAGTTAAAAATTTAAAAATTGAGATCATAAATCAGCTCACAGCAATATGGTTGTTGGTCTCTTCATAAAGTGCTCAGTATACTTTGAGCACTCCACAAATAATAATCATCCCTTCCCCACTGCAATGACCACCACAGCATTTCATCTTTATTCTTTGTTGACATGAGACTTGCTAATGAATTAAGTGTATTATATACTACGAGTTATTTTGAGTGCAGCTAACCTCAGAACATACACATCACTCATCCCCCGTGTATATTAAGTTTCAATTAACTATGAAACTCAAAGCAATCAGTTTACCGAAAGCCAAAAAAACGTTTCTCCTGTGGTAGAGAATACTTCCGTAAACATCATTAATAATAAATTAGTTAAGTATCAGGATTTTACATCAAGTTTGTTAAATGGGAGAGGAGGGGAAGTGTCAGTTTAAGCTAAACCTTGGGTGGACTCAGCTGTTTTCATTTTTGCCTAGGAACAGACAATGATGGAAGGCAACCTGGCTCTACTAAAAAAATTCAAAGAACAGAAACAGAGAGATCAATTTAAACACAACAAATCCATCATTTTAAAGAGAACTCAAGGGTAACAATATAAATACCAGGAAGAAACATAAGCCTCTTGGTACTGTAGTTGAATCTTGTGACACTCCTGTGATCCTGATAAAACAAAGTTATGAGGTGATAAAACGCTGAAGGTGTCCAATCAGACAACAACAGTATTTGCTTTTTCTTATGCAGTCAAGCCCCAGATCTGCCACCAAACCTGGGCAGATGAGAGGGGTTCATTCCCCTGGATCAGGGAATTTCCCCCGATCAGAAATGGAAAATGGATGGGAAAATCAGCAGGAACCTGCCCGAGGTGCCTGCAGAACGACTGGGATCCACCCTCAGTGGCCACATCTGGGGCTGGGTTTGAACCCACTTCAATTAAAAGGGGGAAATGAAGAATCTCTTAGCCAGATTCAGCAACATCATCAACATTTTTGCTTTTTAACTCTATTTTAATCTATTTTTTGCTTAAGTTATGGACAACTTACTGGTTTTAAAATGTCATATCGAGAGCACCCACATCCCAAGAAAACTGGATCTTTCAGAGGCTGTAGTTTGGCTTCTTATTTTGGGAATAACTAGTTTACTAGTTATGGTAGGAGAGCACTTTAGGATTTTCCCAATACTATGTGACAACAAAACCAAACTCTTATGCAAACACAAGCTTCAAAATAGCTCTGAGCTTTGGTGTTGATATAACTAACTAGCAAAGAAAGCTGACATAGGGTATTAATTTTTCACTTCTTATTAATTGCTGCTAATTAACACTTCAAACAGAGTCCCCAGCCATACTTTTTAACAGTAGCACACTGGCTGGCCTGCAATCAACATTACACAACTGTACAGCACACACCACTGTACTCCAATTCCTCTGTCAGTCTGAAGTCCACTGGAAACCAAATGAAGGACCACAAGCCACATTGCCAGCCTGTAAACCAGGGGATGGGAAACAACATCAGAAGAGGCTCAAGGTGACATTACACTAGGCAGGAGCACAAAGCAAAATACTATGAAATGCATTTGAAAGAGCAGGGAGGGGGGGGAAATTCCTGGTTTCAGATCCCTTGTTCATTGTTTCTGCACAGTGGTGGTTCAAACCGATCCGATTCTTCCCCCACGCAGCTCCCATTCCCTTGGCATTTAATTCAGATCCAGGCTCTTAATTCACAGGCAGAAAAAGGCAGCCAATATAATAAAGAATCTCTTTTATTTCCTTCTTCCCACGGCTGTCAGTCTCAGCCCTGCCTTTATCTCCAACGCGCTGCCTCGTCATTGTATCAATATTGGCTCTTTGTACAAGCGCCAGCCTTGGCTTCCTCACACCATTTCACACTTCTCATCTCCTCTCGACTCCATCCTGGTTTTCTTTCCTTTGGAAGGTCCCCTACCCACACACAAATCCTTCCTTAAAGTTATTCCTGAAAAACTTACTATCTCCCTCCAACGTATGCTCGGTTAATCGGGATCGACATACAAAAGGCAGGCTGCTGGAACAGAGGATGCAAAAAAGATCCTGCAGCTTTGAAACTTCCTGCCCAGACAGTGCATCAGGTATGCCAATGTAATGCTGAGTCCTGAATGGTGGAGAAGCGGAAATTCCACTGCCTCCTCCAAAATTTAGTAACATTCCTTGACTTGAGATGGTCCCACCTCTCAGTATGGAGCCACCTGATGAGTGCAGAAGGGCTGCAGTTATCACAGGGCTGCAGAATCACAGAATGCTTTGGGTTAGAAGGGACTCAGAAGGATCACCAAGTCCAACTGCTGGCCCTGCACAAGACAACCCCAAAAATCACACCAAGTGCCCGGAGTGTTGTCCAAATGCTTCTTTAACTCTGTCAGGCTTTGGGCCATGGTCACCTCCCTGGGGAGCCTGTTCCAGTGCCCAACCACTCTCTGGGTAAGGAACTTTCTCCTAATATCCAACCTAAACATGCCCTGACATAGATTTACACCGTTCCCCTGGAAGTCAGGGAACAGTAAGGGCTGCCAGCACAACCCTGTGTCCTTGGTGAAGAGCCCCTGCCAGGGATGTGGCTGGTGGGAGGGTGGGTCCATGAGCAGCTCGGGGCTTACTGAATTTCTGGAGGTTGACCCTGGTTACATAATTGGGTTTTTTCCAGCCCAGTTGGAGGGAAGCTGAACGCGGGGTGGCCCCAGCAGACTTTCTTGTTGAATGCATCTGCTGATTCCACCCAAAGGCAGGCCCTACCATGAACACTTTCATGTAGCCTTTACCATCTTCGAGATTTTGCAGGACCGCGAGTGAAAACATCGCTGCAAAGCAGTCAAGGAATCCAGTTGTCCCCTCTTCCATCCTACTTCCAGAACACATCTTTTTTTTATGCCACCCACCTGGCCAAGTGGTAAAATGGGGACCCCTACGCCTAGAGCAGATGAAGCAATTGCCAAGGTAGGACACAGGTGATGCTGGACCAGGTCCTGACTCCATTGTCAACTTCACCTTGGGCATTTTCCAGAAAATCCCAATGAAACAGCACTACAAGCAACGTGGAGCAGGGTGAAGGGGGACTCAATCCTGTGGGACACAATCTAGGATGCACTGCTAGTGGCAGGCCGCCCCAACAATCACACCCCCGAGCATCTGCACAACCTGCCACAACATTCACACCCCTGAGCATCTGCACAATGCAATGGAGGCTCATTCAAAAGGGCTATTGAACACATCAACTAAGTTTTACCTCCTAGAAAAAGGGCCTGTCTCTCCTCTCAGACAAAGCACCAATTGGAAACCTTTTAAGGACTATTTCTTCCAAAT